CATTTTAGTTTTAAAATGTCCTATAAATAAAATTCCAGGTCCAGACAACTTTTTTGGTAAATTTTATCAAACTCTCAAGAAAGAAAAATTCCAATTCTATAAATACCTTTCCAGATAATCAAAATGGGGGAAGCACTTTTCAAATGAGCGTATAAAGCCATAATTATACTGATATAAAAACCCAAAAAGATATTTTAAGAAAATACAACAGTACATTAATATCCTCTTAAACATAAGAGCAGAGATGCTTGGCAGAACTGTATCAGATAAAGTCTGATAGATATATAGGAAGGAAGGTACAGTAAAACCATGTGGCATTTGTCCCATGGATACAAAGTTGATCTAAATCTTGGAAGTCAGTGAGTACAGTTCACCATACTAATATACTTGCAAAGCAGAATTGTGTAATTATACTCATATGAGAAATGACAAAGCACAATACTCATTCATAATAAAAAATTCCGAATAATAGGAATATAACAGAACTTCCTCAATTCGGTAAGAAATTATGTGTGAAAATCTTCCAGTTGACATCAGATTTATGGTGGGAATTGTAGGCTTCCCCATGAGACAGAGAATGAAGCAAGGGTATCCGCTCCTACTAATTTTAGACAACATTGTACCTGAGGTTCAAGTTAAATGTAAGAGAAGAAAAACAAGAAAATACTCCAGACTGGGAAGAAATGAAGAAAGCTGTTCTTAATTTGGTCAAGATAATTTATTTAAATAATGTTAAGGGATCTACAAAAAGAAGTAAATTTAGAAAGGCTGGTATACAAGAATATATAAAATTACATTTATATTTTACCAACAATGGGAAACAAAAATATAATTTTCAATAGCTATGAAAATATCAAATACTTGGAAACAAGTTTGACAAATGATGTGCCAGATCTGTTCTCTAAAATGACATGTGTGATGTTGAGAAATGAAGATCTTAATAAATGTGATATGTGCTATGTTTGGTAGATTTAATATTTTTATGTTTTCAATTTTCTCAAAATTGATTTATATATTCAATACAATTCCAATGAAAACTTCATCAGTGATTTGACTTACAGAAAGTGACAAATGAATTTAAAACTTAAATGAAATTGCAAGGAAACTAGAATAGCAAAGAGCTTTTAAAAGTAAAACAAAAGTTGATAACCTTATACTAATAATGTTTCAGGACACTTTATGAAACTACCTCACCCAGGAAGTGTGGGTAATGACAGGTACATAGATCAGCAGAACAGAACAGAATAGAGAGAACAGCTTGGACTCTTACATAAGGTACCAAAGCAATTTAGCAGAGAAAAGACTTTTTTCAACAAGCAGAGCTGACAATTTAGTTGACCAAATGTAAGTAAACTAAAGAACTTTAAAATCTGTTGTCACACTACACGTGAAAAATTAACCCCAAATGAGCGACGGACTTCCGTCTAACATGTCTGGAATAAACTACTGTTGCAAGTTGACCGTGGGTCTTGCAAAGATTTGTTAAATAGAATAATAAAACGCCAGACTGTAAAAGAAGCCAATCTACCGGCCCATCAAAACACCCCCAGCCATAGTGCGCACACCCACACGCCCACACAATGCACTTCAGACACGAATAAAATAAAAATGTCAGAAAGGAGAAGGAAATATTGCCATATGGCATCTGACAACAGATCTTTATGCAGAATATATAAAGAACTATCATGACTCAATAAGATAAGCATCCAATCTGAAAATGGGAGAGAATATGAGTAAAACACTATCAAAACTTGCAAATAAACATGAAAATGTGGTCGATTTAACTGGAATTCAGAAAAGTGAAAGTGAAAGTCATAATGAGATCTGACTATCTGTAGCCCTATCTTTCACAATGGCCAACACGAAAAGACCAGCCACACCAAGTGCTGACAAGACAGAAAACACATCAGCAGTTTAGAAACACTCGACACACGCCTACCACACAGCCTGAGAGAGATGGAAGCCCGAGCCTACACAAAAGACTCGTAAAAAATATTTGCAGCAATCTAACCTTAAACAATTCCAAGTTCTGTTTAGCAGATAAACGGATCAAAATATTTTTATATCTGTATAATGACATATTACTCATAAAGTAAAATAAGATCACAAATAACATGAATCAATCTCAGAATAGTTGAATGAAAGAAGCCAGATGTACAAGTGCATATGATATATAACTTCATTCACATATATAGTAATATTTCCAACTCACCTACCATACCCGACACAGTGAGGGGTTGCCATGGATACAAGAAGACACCTGGGAGTTTCTGAAGGGGAGGCAATTCATGCTGGGACTGTGTTGACAGAGATTTGGCTGGATTCATATGTCAAAACTAGTCAAATTACATACGTGAGCTACACTGAATTCAATTATACCTCAATAAATTTAGAGAGGCATCTAAATCTATATTCTGCTTAAAGTGTTTCTATTTCTGTGAAATTTCTACACGCATAGAGAAGGCTACTCCATCAAAAACATTTCATGAAGCTGAGAAGACAGGGCTCAAGGAAGCACTCTGTTACTGAGTTGATGGTGTAGGGACAGAGGACGCAGTACTCACTACACTGAGGGGCTGCTCACTCGTTCATCCAACAGACGCATTTTCCTGGATACGTACTAGTGGGCAAAACAGAAGGAATCCTTCCTGTACATCTACACTCAAGTTACATAAATTTCTCATAAATTTGGGTTAGCAGAAGTTTACCGTGACTTCTCAGGCATGATAACAGAAACTTCATTCTGTACATAACTTATACCCATACTACTAAAATTACCTTGAAAGATATTTTAAAGTGCCTTATATTTTTATTCATTCACTCGCCATTGCTGTCAAAATAAAATCCAAGCTTGTTTTAGCTGATTGTCCTCAAGTGGGCCTGTGACCTCATACCTTAGTGTTCTGGGACACAGGCAGGGTCCTTTATCAAGACTGCTGCTGACCTCTGTGCCCTTCAGGCTTTCTGACTCCAGATTTCGGACAGGGACCCCCTGCGCCCTGATACTGGTAGGAATGTCTCACTTCCCAAGGCGCTGCGTGGCCTAAGTAAGCAGAGCGTGATCACGAAGCTGGCTGTGCTGGTGCCTGGTGCTCAACCCGCAGCTGTGCTCCCAGGTCACCCAGATGCCACGTCAGGCACAAGAACACACCTCGGTCCCCAGGTGAGTTCGGGACAAGCTGAACGAACTTCATGAAGCAGAAAAGCTTGCCAATGTCCTTACCAACCGAGGAAATGCAATCACAAAACAGCCTGCAAACAAACAGAATCCCTTCCTGAGCTTGGGGACTGTGCTCATAGAAACAGGTGGCTCTAAACTCCAACATTAAAAGCAAAACTAAGAGGCAAAACAAGGACATTCCTTTCCTGTCTGTGTCGATGCTCATATCTGCACTTAGCAGGTTTAACGCAGGCACAATTTTAAAATTATTTTGCCATAACGGAATCTATACATACTCCACTTACTTTTTAATGCGGTTACCAAAAGTCAAGTAAAATATATCTCTTACCATATATGACTAAAGGTAAACCTGGGCATTTTAATTTATTCCATGACTTTACAGTGCTACCCACACCCCTGATTTATTTACTGGTTCTACCCTGGTTCAAGGTACCTGGTAAATAACAAGGTATGTCTTTAATTAAAACAAAACCCTTCCGCAAACTGTTAATAGCATTTCTTTGCAGATGTTTGTTTTCACTCAGCCCTTCCTTATCAGGCAGCCTGTCCTCACCTGCAGGCAGTCCTGCAGGAAAGAAAGTTGCTGGTCTCCGGATCTCTAGTGCCCTGCTCCATCCCCAAGACTCATTCAAAGAGTGAGGGAGAAGGTAAATGATGTTGCAACGCTGCCGGAGGCCTAAGTAGGGCGCCCAGACCCCGGCGCCCGAGACTTGATGAGAGCAAAGGGGGACCTCCTAGTCCTCACGAGGAGCATAGGGGAAAAGCTCTAGGGAGGGAGCCTCCACAGAACAGAGGGTGCAGGGCGGACGCGGCGGACAGGGGAAACCCAGTGAACCGCACACCTGGGCTGTTGGGCTGTAATCAGATAGGACACTTTCCCCAGAGCTAGGAGGGGGAGGTGAGGTTGCTGTACTGGTGGCTACCATGCAGGGAAGGCTGAAATCTCGGTATACCACATTTCTCCTGTGAGTAGAATTTTAGTTGGATTCAGCATACATTTTAACCTTGTCTTGGCCAATGCGGTGGCTAAGAAATAACAAAACCAGGTCATCGTACGTCGATTTCCTATGGTGTTTCCCTTCGGGGTTCACCTCTCCCCACTACCCTGGCTGTCCGGCTAGGGTCAGGTATTCCTAATGTGGACTGCAGGGGCCGGGCTGCGGGAAGTCAACACCTGAAAACCGAACATGGATTTAGACCTGGGAAACCACCTCGTAATAATATTTCTCCTCATTTCATGTAGGAGAAATCTGAGATCCAGGGAAATTAATCTGCTGAGGTCTCGCAGGTAGTGGCATTTTGAAAAGATGATGATTTTTAAATACTCTTCCAGAACGGCCACGATAGAATCTGTCTACAGAACCTGGTGGCATAGGATTGAGAGTTTCCTCTTCTGCAATGGACTTCTTGTACTAAATACTGTACTGACTTGGTTGTACCCAATATGCACAACTATTTTAACACGGAGCTGTTATGGTGAATCTTTATTAAGAAACCGCAAAGGCATAGGCAAAGTTCTTGCTCTTCAACATCCTTGTCAGTTTTGGGAGAGTGCACTTATTTTTCTTTTGAGGCAACAAGACAGGAAAAAGGAAATGATTCCATCACATAAAAATCCAACTTTGGGAAATGTTTGTCTCCAAAAAGCAAACTCTATGGGATTCAAATTAAAAATTCATAATATTGCTGAACTGAAATTAACCGATAAAAATCCTCTGTGCTCTGCAGCTTAATTTTGGGAAAGTTGGCTGCAGTCATCAGAGTATCTATTTTAACTTTAGTGGCATAAAACATTCTTTTCCAGAAACAGCGTACTTACTGATTCAGGACAGGTGTGTAGGCAGTTTTATCTTCATCAATAATCGTCACCATCAGTGTAATAAGCTGGGGCCAGAAGTCCAAGTTCTTGGTGGTCGGTCCCTGATCTTCCCGAGGGACATCCTGTTTCTTACTCTGCTCCCGAGGAATGCAGCATGAAAAAGAAGAGTTCAAATGGAAGGACTTGAGTCTGTTGTCAAGGTCAAAAGGAAAGATCAGAGAAAGGGGATTATGGAAGAAATCTTGATCATGGGAGAGAAAGCAACTAAACTCAGACTTGCTTTCTCCATGGAATGGCCCCCTCTAGAGTAAAAACTCATGGCAAGGCTTGCCTTTCTAAGTACTCTTTTGTTTTTGGTTTAGCTTCGATGGAAGCTCCTTGGGCTGTGGAATGGAGATTTTCCTTCCCACTGGCTCCTGTAATTCATGAGTTTAGGAATGGTTACTATGGAATTATCCCTTTCAGTGTGGCTTCTTCCACAGATAAAGATTGATTTTGTGTGTACGGATATTTGTGAGTGTGTACAGCTGTGTGCAATCTATCATGCCTAACTGTTTTGCCCCAAGTCACCTTGATAGATTTTAAAGGTTCCTTGCTTACAAAATCAGTGCCACAAAAATCTGTGATCCTGCTCACCTGCTACATCAAATGCCTGGAACACCCTCATCCTGTCTGCAAATGTATCTGGTTAACAAAAATTTGATAAATTGATCTTTTTCTTTTTTCTTGTTCCTATTGATCGTCTCTGAATCCTTCTGAATTTACCGTCTTCTTGAAGTCTTCAATTCTCACTTATAGAAAGAAGAATGTGGCCTGGGATAACCTGCATGTACTTTGATATTTAACAGAATGAAATAACAATATCAACTATTTCTCAATACAAATTTCATAATGACATATGTAAGTCTTTTCAAACTGCAGATAAGTTATTCTGGTTATTTATTTTGGTGGGTCTTCTTAAAGCACTTCTCTCACATTTAGATTTTTAAATTAGGCAAAAAGATACCGACATAATTTCCATTCAGCTATACAAGTAAGTGGGAAGCATATGGTGTCTATGACTACTTTTGCAAAATCCTATATAGGTCCAAGATATCTGGAGATGGTGCAGGAAGTGCAGAGACTACTGTGAAATGTGTGAGACTTGGTGACTCTGCGGATTACTGTATCTGCCTGTCCTGTCTTCTGCTGTGACTGAGGCATCAGTTGCCTGGTTGTCTATGCCAGTCTCCCAAATGGATCCAGACACGGGCCTGTGTTTAGATGAATCACCCCCATGTTGTTCTCACTGAGATTAAAATACAGCCCACGGCGCGTTTGCTCATTACAGGGGACCTGTGCACACAGACTGTAAGGGACTTCAGGGAAGGATATTTCCCCAAGTTGCTCCCAAGAGCTACTGACTGACTTTTATCTTCAAAATGCAACAGATGTTAAAACTTGCAGTGCTAAATTACAATGGTCAAGTCAGTGGTTATCGCAAATTACTCCAAACAGCCAGAATGAACCGTGAGCCTCTTCAAAGAGCCTGGAGGGCCTCACACATCGGATGCCCGAGAACAGGTATGCACACTCTTGACGGCTTCCCCAGAGCAGCTCTGGAGCTGCCTCCCGGAAGGAAAGGCAAGCTCACAAATACCCAGGCTGGCCAATTTCTGAGTTAGATGTTTGTACCGAAATTAACTCGTTATAGTAAGCCCGACAGCGCTCTCTCTCTATGCAAAGTGTTTAGCAGTCAGCCCTGGCGAGCTGTGAAGGCTGTAAATAAAATTAGTCCCGACGGTCACTGTCATTAGCCACCGTGAAGGGAGCGCAGTCAAATGATGTGTCTTACCTGTCTTCAGTGGTGGGACCACGTGAAAGGAAATTACTATAAATGCACGTCTAACAGTACACCGCTTATCATCAGTTTTCAGAGGGTCAGGAAGGAGACAGAACTGCACGTTCCTTCACCCCAAACCCCTCAGGAGGTGCCCTGCCTGCTGAGTTGTCCTCCCTCTCCGTCACTGCCCAGAGCCACAGGGCTGCTGATGTGCAGCTACCGGCATCCAGTTCTGTACACTGCGTCAGAAGAAGCCAAAGTAGAAGGTGAGTCATTCCTTGATTGCTAGCAGACTACAGCAGCCTAGAGCAGCTTCCCCATTTCATATAATAGACTGCTTAAAAGGGGGCATAGCTGCACATGTTACATCGTCAAGTCTGTTTCTCAAAGTTAAAACATATCTAATAGCAACCTACAACCTTCTAAATATCTGGCCTTACGATTGGAAAAGTTGAGGAAATGAATGGCAGTAGTAACTAAGAAGGCCAATAATAATTCACCCATTTATGAAACTCATGAGTTACTCTACTGTAAGAAAATGTAGCAATAATAAACTCACTAATAAAATTCAGTATGTTGGAAAAGTAAGACTTAGTAGATCAATTGTAATTAGAGTGATCAGTAACGTTCGTGGCTAAAATTATTTTGTCACTACATTGTCATTGAAGAGACGTAACAGGAAGTGTGGGAGCACATAGTAGGGAGAGAGTTTGCCGGGGTGTAGGATGAGCTGAAGAAAGCTTCCAGTGGTCGTTTTCACAAGTGTACTTCACTACAGAAAAGCAGATGTGATACACACTGCACTTTTGCAATACTGAGTAAGGAAATGTCTGCCGGTGTGGTGACTGACAACTGTAATCCCAGCACTCTGGGAGGCTGAGGCAGGAGGATGGAGAGTGTGAGTCCACCCTGGGTGGCTTAGTGACTTAGACCCCCTCAAAATAAAATACTAATAGTAGCAGTAATAACAGCAATAATAATAATAAAGACTGGGGATGTGCATTGCAGACCAACGCAAAGTCCCTGGATTCACTTCTCACAACAAGGGAGAAAATACAGCCTATCCCATGCAGAAAACATCAAGATACAGAGAACTGCTGCATGCAAAATAGGAAGTATGAAAATAGCAGACGATGTCCCCGTGTGAGTGGGACTAACGCAAAGGTGAGGAAACCGGCACACACGTCTGTGTTCAGTGAGCATGTGCACTGCAACCCTCCCTCCAAGGGCTGCTCAGGGAGGGCGGGGAGGACGGGCGTGAAGACACCCCGAGGCGGGCAAGAGCGCGTGCCAGATGTGGGCGGAGTCTGGGTGAGACAGCCTGTGACCGAGCGTGGTCTCTCACGTTAGTTCTGGTGGGTGCATCACACACACACACACACACACACACACACACACACACACACACACACACACACGCACAGTCCACGCTCCAATAGCTAAGGCAACATGTGCTTCAACAAAGCCACAGTGGTGATTTCCAGACTTTTCAGCCTACTCTGCCATGGAGATAAAGTTGAGTCATTTGTAGGAAAATGGGTGCTCCTGGAGGCCATAATGTCCAGTGAAATTATCACATGATTCTCTCACAGGAGAAACCCAAAGTATGAATGGAGAGCAAGGTAAGAGACAGGTCCTGGGAAGGAGGGAGACAGGCCCTCCCGAAGGAGAGGCGGGCAGGAGAGGGAGCAGGTGGCGGGGACGCGGAGGCAAAGGGGTGAGAATGAACCATGTGAGGTGAAGGGTCCGCATCGCTGCCCGAGGCCCTAACATCTCCTGGTGTCTCGTGCAGCGGATGGGAGTGGGCGTTACTCCAGCGCTGGCGCTGCCTCCCTCGGCCTCCTCTGGGGCTGGGGACAGGACTCACTCCGCGGCCTTCACGGAGACCACGGCAAGCTGACACCTTGACCCACGTGCTCCAAAGCGTGCTTCCCCTATGGATGCTTAACGCCACTGTCGAGGTACCTTCTGCATCCACTGAGTTCTGCTGGCACACGAGGTCACGTAAACTCTGCCCGGAACAGGAGAACTTGGAGAGCCAGGCTGGGTGAAGCCAAGTCCCAGCTTCTGTCCTCGGCTGGACCTTGGTCACATGCTTAGTGGATGGCACTAGGCATTCTGGTCAGGCTGTGGCTCCACCTTAGTCTCCTTGGACGAGAGACAAAGGAGGGGCACCAGGGCACAGCTGACATTCCCACTGCCCTGAAATATTGTGTCACTGGCTTTTAAAGTGCACACGTATCAATTCCTGATACCAAAAAATAAAAAAAATGCACACATAATGTGCCTTGGGAAAATAGGGATGGCACCTCCGTAGAGAGATTCTAGAGGAAACACTCCGCCTGCTGTGCATCAGGGGCCTTGTAAGTCTGGTGCCTGGATCACCCCCCTCAGAATCACATGGCCTGTTAGACATCAGTTGCTCTCAGCCCTGCTGCAGGCCCGCTGAGGACCTGGGGATGCAGCCCGATGCGCTCAGCAGGGCTCCCAGGAACTCTTCAGTTTCACAGGGCGAGTCCTGTACTATATTACTTCCGGGGAAATCAGTCATTTTTAAGAAGACTGATACGGTTTCTCCTGGATGCCAGCATAAGTCAGTTTTGCTAGATTTTGCATTCCATAATGATAATAAAAGGCTCCAATTCTACTTTTCTATTTGACAGATTCCTGACTACACACAGTTCTCCAATTTTAAGAGACAGAAAGCCTTACTGAATATTTATATTGTATCCTTTGCAGCTGTGGACTCCAGTGCTAGATCCTTTCATAAAACATTACTTTGTAGATTACAGCCACTAGCAAATCACTGGTATGCTCAGATATGCTACTGGTGCTAACTGATAACCACAAATGAGCAACCAGACATCTTAAATGAGAGTAATTCTAAGTAAGAGAAGTTATCCTACACTGAAACATTGGTTAGAAAAGGGGGAATTTTCATATAATGGGATATTTCACTTTCAGCCAGTGTGGCGGTGCACACCTACAATCCCAGCACTGGTGAGGCCTAGGCAAGAAGGTGTGAACTGGGGGGCCTGGTCTACAGAGTGAGTTCAAGGCCAGCCCAGTCTATAGAGTGAGACCCCGCCTCAAAACAAAACAAAATAAAATAAAACTAAACTAAACTAAACAAACAGAACAAAAGAATATTTCACTTTTATTACAGCAAACTATTCAAAGACTATTTACTGGGCTTTTTCAGCTTCAGTAAGTCAGAAGTATCTTGACATTTAAATTGCCAAAGATGCATTTCAAAGTGTTTAGGCACTTCAAGTGTTTTCCCATAACTAACTCGAAGTGGTTCCTGGAACT